TTTGCCTTAGTTCCATCTCAGTCTGTGTACGTCCCTCCAAGTCATTTCGGATACTCTCAATCTCTTCAAGAGTGTGCCCCTCAAGAACATTAAGGGTGCCTTCCACCTTCCCCAAACNGGGCTAGTGTGTAAATATTAATTATTACACAAGTCCCTGATATTTACAAGATAAGGGCTTTTTCTAGAATTCTCTACAAGCCTAGAAGATTCCAAGGACTTTCCTAGCAAATCCATAAGGATCTAGGTTCTTCCTAAGGAAATGTCCATACCTCTCTAGAATCTTCTCACAAATGCTAGCCTTCTTCTTATGTAAGCTTCCACATGACATTAATATATGTCAAATGGTGCCTATGTGGCATGATGACATGGTGGGTCATCACATTAGGACCCTTTTAGTAGGCTATTTCTATTCTGAAATGCCAGGTTGATGTGGATGAAAACCTCTAAAAACTATTTGATGTTAAATTAAAGAATCAAAATTTGTGTATTTGAATCTTTAGAAGAAATACCAAATAAAGATGACGGGAAAGTTAAATCGCAAGGTCCACTTATTCATAGAGTCCTAAAAAAATATTCAGTGAGTAATAGTAGCAGCATTAAAGCTTGATTGGTGGCAATTTAAGTTGATTCATATTGTGAAAGATGTGAATCTGCGAATAGCACATTGACTTAACCTTCTTATTAATGTCTACATCACCATTTTTTGCATTCCAAGGAAATCTATTGATGAACTTTGATAAAAAAAAAAAAAAAAAAAAAAAAAAAAAAAAAAAACAGCAACACCTATAAATTGTTGCTGATAAGAGTTGCCTTTTGCGTAATTGCTTTGTTCACAGAATGTTCGCTCTGACTTTAAGATCCATCCTCTACTGAACAGGTTGTTAAGGTTGGTGATTTTGGGGTTGCGAGAGTGCAGGTTCAAACTGGGGTGATGACTGCAGAAACTGGAACATATAGATGGATGGCTCCTGAGGTGCAGAGATCTTAATTTAATTTTATGCAGTACTTAATTACAACATCCTCGATTCAGTTGAAACTAATGATTCCAATTCTTTGGTTTTCTTGCTGACAAGATGCATGATTGCTCCACCAATTATGCTTTTATCCTCGTGCTTAGATTTGTTGCCACTATAAAATAAGTGTAATGGTCCCCTTCAAGCTGATAGGACTTTTACTTTGAAACGCCTCAGGCTTCTTTGCTTCAAGCATGAAGAGCTTTTAATATGTTGCTCTCTGAATTTTGCATTTTATCCTTAGATTTCGTTTCCACACTCTGTGAAGTCTGGTTGTCATCTATATGCAGTGCTTGGGACTTGTGTTCTTCTTTTCTATGATGGTGGTGTCGGGGCCAGCTTGTCCGCACCTTGATTAGTTCCAGCATATACCTATTATCTCCCACTAGTACAGGTACCGGGTAACGCTATCTACCAAGGCTTAGACGGATCGGAAGAAATAACCTAATGTTTTCGTCTCCACCGGGATTTGAACTCAAGACCTCATGGTGCCTTTGGACTTGTGTTCATTTGCTGCACCCTGCTGCATCTTGGACGCTTTAAGCACAAGGTGCTTTTGATAACCTTGTAATAGGTTATTTTACTTAGGTTGCCATCGGTAATATGCATCGCAGGATTCCGTGTACGGTTTACCATGCAGATAGATCGGGTTTCTGCAATATTAAGCATTTAAATGTGAACTCTTGGTTTAATGGTTTTTGCTTCTCTTCCCTTTAATACTACAGTATTCTCTTGTGTCATCCCAGTCCAACATTCTATTCAGCAAAGAGTTTGGCCCAATTTTGTGCTTAACCATCCTGCAGCATCCAAGTTTCATGCTTAAAATGGTTTTTATTCGTTGAAGGTAATTGAACACAAACCATACGACCACAAGGCCGATGTTTTCAGCTTTGGTATAGTGCTGTGGGAACTTCTGACTGGAGAAGTAAGTTTCGCATTCTTTTTTTTTTGAGCAAGTTTTGCTTTGCATCTATTTATGTTCACATGTTAGTTCTTTAACACCAAACTAACTTTCATGTCTTGCGACGGAGCAGATTCCATATGCGTACTTAACACCATTACAAGCAGCAATAGGTGTGGTGCAACAGGTAGCATACAGTTCATTGACGTCTCTAGTACTAGTGATATATTTCCCATTAACTAACACTCACATTTGGTTTCTCATTGTTATCAGGGTCTACGGCCAACAATTCCTAAGGACACTCATCCAAAGCTTGCTGAACTTCTTGAGAAATGCTGGCAGCAAGACCCAACTCAAAGACCTGATTTCTCGGAGATTTTGGATATGCTGCAGCATCTAACTAGGGAGGTTGGGCATTTGCATAATATAAGCTTCATTTTGTTAAGGCTTTTTCATTCCTTTGAACCTGGTTTTTCTATGCTTGAAAAACAGGTCGGAGGTGATGGAGAGGACAAACAGAAGGACAAATCAATTGGTAGCTTTTTCTCAGCTCTTAGAAAGGGCCATCACTGAGATTTTGTTGAAGAGAGGAAGGTGCTTGGCCTTCTGCTTTTGTTTGGTGTACCGATTCTCAGATCCGATTAGTTTTTGAAAATCATGGTTTTTATCCAATGTTGCTTGGCATTCATTTACTATTCCTAATTTAGTGAGGGGCGCAAGCTGGTGAGGAAAGCTTTAGCAACTCTGTACAGAATTCCTGTGAATTCGCAAATTCTGATTGCTAATCCTTTTTGTACGTTTCTTATTGAGAATTTCTCTCTTTTCAACTTGTTCTAGGCACCATCATTGTTTCTGAATTGATGCTTTTGAAGCTAACCAAGATGTCTACCAATGCCGCCTCAGATTACAGGAATTGTAAAGAAATGGTAAAATATATAGCTTTTCATCCAAGACGTGTTTACACGTTCTATCGCACAGATTTTCTTAGTGAGTTTTGTATTCGATTGACTTGGAAAAGATCTCCTGATATAAAATAGAGGTTCCAACAGGAGTAAATCGTCATCGGAGCTTCTGTAAATAGTCAAAAAATGACGCTATTATGGAATAGAAGACATTTTTTTAAAGTATGAAAATGCTACCCAATATTTTTGTATGAAAATGATTGCATCTACTGTCCTGCCATATTTTGGATGCAAAAGTCCAGACTGGCATGGCTGAAGCTGAAAGAATGAGGATAATTACGCGAAATCATTTTACTGAACTGCTAAAATGAACAGTAGAAAGAACTTCACTGAGAAGATATTTTATCTATGGTGTTAAAGGAGTGATCATTGAGTACTATGAGAAATTATATCAAGAGGAGCTGATTGCAATAAATTTTAGAACGTCCAGTTCAGTTGGATAGGGATAACCAGAGAATGATGAAAAATAGGAAGCTGTTAGAATGTCCAGTTCAGTACTGTCTCAACGTTGTTTGGGATGGCATTGAACTTCTTTTATGATCAGCAACAATTTGAGAAAAGTTGAACGCCTCTTATCATTTTTTTGATCCCTATAAAGAGGGGGGAAGTGACATTATAAGAGCAGAATACCTAGAACTTGGAATCGTTTATTCGGTGCACGTTTATACCATTCGTAATACTAATGTATCATCCCCTTGCCCTTGGACTTGGCTATTTGAAGCTATGCCATGATTAGCTCACAATGTATAGACACCTCCCCATTGAATTGTGCCTCAAAAGTAAAAAGTTGTGGTTCATGGAGTCTAGGTTATTGATATGAAAAGGGACCAAATAAATACTCCAGTAAAGCTTTGGTAGGAAAAGAGGGGATAAAAAGCATAAGTTAGAAAAACAAATCTAGTAGAAGAAATATGCAGTTCCTCTTACCCTAATTTGGACCTAGAATCCTTAACCAACAATTTCATTTTGTGGAGACTTTCAGCAGTGATACACAAGTAGAAGAAATTTATATTTTCTTACACACCTATATGTATATAGTATATGCTTTACAAAATAATTCATGTACGTGGTCAGATCTGAATAGTAACATTCTCCGGAAGCTTACCAGAATTCACAACTAAATAATAATCATAAGTCCTCTCTTCAACATTGAAGACGTGCAAATACACGAAAACAGCACATACAACTTTACAAAATCTTTGTTAGTTGAACAGCAAGTTCTGAAGAATAAGAGATTGAACTCATGTTCAGGCATTCCGTACTCCCTCCATCCTATCGGATTGCCCTACTTATTTTTCGATGGTTAGATTAATTAGTTCGTTTGACCAGCTTTTAAGTGCGACCAAATTTTTTTAAAAAAAGTAATTTTTGTCCTGAAAAAAGCAATTGATCAACGAAAATTAATTCGTCCTCAAACAACATTTTGAAACTAGTTACTTATAATATACACCACAAAATCCCAAACTTTCACATCCTGAAATCTTGAAAAGTATATTCATAAGAAAAAAATATGCATATATTTTTCTTTATAGAGAAGCAAAAAAGCGTATTGTCCTTAAGATGGAGGGAGTACTAAGGTTAAACTCCCCACGATTCCGGAATCAAATCCATATATTAGCCGAATTGTTATAATAAGTACAAAATCTTGTGTACGCCACGAGATGAGGGAGATACTGAAGAAGATAGTATATGAATTATCGACGATTGTCGCACTTGCTGAGGAGTTGACGAGCTCGGACAGTTACTTGCAGGCGTGCAAGGGCGTGCATGCAATGAAGAGCTATTCTAGCCTGTCTTCTCACACATGCCCCACGTACCACAGCTTGAAGTCTCACAAGGCTTTTCAGTGCCTTAAACGCCCGTCTCGCCTATAAATTTTTCATTGCCAGAATCAAGAACATATGTATTAATGGCAAATGATAATGTCAAAAGGACAATTAAGAGGATGGTTAAGTACAACTTACAAGATGACCCCTAAAGTGAGATTGGATAGTAATAGCAGCCATATCCTCTTTAGACAGAAAATAAGTGCGGCCATTGTGCTTTGTAGATTGCCCATTTGCACTGCTTGTCCTAGTTGTAATTGTGTTATTATGAAGAACAATGATAGTTTTATGTGGAGGAGATGACCTGAATAGTTTCTTACGGACACTGCCAAACCAATTCTTCTTGGACATCCTCATGTTTGATAATGTTAGCTTCTAGTTTTGGTAGAGGTTATGAATGGATAGATTTTTATTATGTGTGTTATTCATTTTGTAAAATAAGGAAACGTGGCCAACATGTTTGTTGGGAAATAAGAGAATGGGGCAATGGGTCTACTTAGAACGTGGCAAGATGAAATTGATTTTGTGTAACTTTTAAGTATTTCAAAAGACCATTCCAGCACTAGGGACCACTGATGTTAGGACATGGCCGCCCTAGGTAGAGTACTTGGAATACCAAACAATATTAGATCAAAGTCAGAGGAAAATTTAAAATTAAATGGTACTATAAGATTATTTTCCCTATTTGTATAATTTAACATGCATATAATAGCGAGTTGATTGTTACTTTTGTTAAGTTACTAATTAATATTTACCATATGCTTTTCCTGTAATTATTTCATTTCCTAAATAAGCTGATTGTGTGAACATCAGGGTCGAAGAAGACGTGTAAGACACCGAGGGGCCGGGGCTTCTTTATTTAGCTCCCGGTTGGCCATAAATTTTGGCTATTTTTAAAATTAAAAAAAAATATTGAAAACATTGTTTTGTTCATGGAATATGATCAGGTTTTTTGAAAAAAAAATTCAAGTTCCCAAAATCTGATTTAGGGGTGAAAAAAAATTTTCCACCCAAAACTTTAACTTTTTTTCAAATAAAATATATGTCCAAATACAACTTCAACTTCTAAAAATAATTTTTTAACACAATTTTAAAAATTTCTTTTTTAAGTTCCAACTAAATCTAGCTTAATACATTCTAACTTTAATCAATTTAAAAAGATTCAACTTGTATAGTACTGGTTGGGGTCCAGATCCTTTACATTCAAACCAACGCTATTCCCTAGAAGTTGGCTGGTCAATTTTTATGTGGTTTTTCTAGATCGCCCTGCATTGCTCTACCAATGTATTTTAATAATATTACCCTCAAGTTGTTTTCCGTTATGATTCGTTAATGTCAGAATGAGATTATTGAGTTTCCTTTGTGTGTTCTATTGGATAGCCCAAGCTATTTGTACCTACCATCTTATATATCTTTGCTTTCAAGCAGAGCAAAGTTGTAAAATAAAGCTGCTTGTCAGTTTTCCTTTGTTTATAATCGGAAGGACTACAAGTGCATATATTATTCTTTGGCCCAAAAAATTAGATCTTGGTTCAACTAATTAAATTTATATAAATGAGGGTTAATTTTAGCTAACAATAATATCTCAAAGATGGAGTTTTCAAAAGTGTAATAAGTACCACATAAATATGTTTTGACAACGTTGGCAGCATACAATCAATATTCTAGTTCTAGAAACTAAAGGCAATAATGTAGAATATTAATGAATAATAATAAATGATATTTAAGTAAATAGAACGAATGAGTCACCCAAAAAGGATGCAACCAATGAATGTTCTTTCTGATAAAGATAGTGATGGACAATCCTTTGAATATATGAGTTATTCTTGGATCTAGTGGAAAAGTGTAGACCAGAATCTTTAGTAAAAATATGATGTTTGTATGCATGCAATGGAATCTGATTCTCTCTTTGAAGTCAAAGTATTTTTATAAAATAAATATCACATGTCCCATATCACTATGTCTCTTTCTATTTATAGGGAATTTGTTCCTAAAAACTCTAATAGTACAAATGCGAAGAATATCCACTAGAATATTCTCCTTTTAAGTCTTATCTTAACACTAGCCATTATAACTCGATCAAAAGGTGCTCGGCCTCGATGACATCTCTTCAACTTTGATCTTGAAGACTCTTCAACCACTACCTTTGTTGATAATCAAATTACTTCGATACGTAGTGCCCTGGGAATGCTTTACTAATACCCTTTCGATTAAAGATGGATTTTGACCAGTACAATTATATCAGTCCCTCTTTTCCAAAAAAAAAAAATCATTTTTTTCTTCTTTAGTTTTAATTTGACTAACTCAATGATAAATCGAAGACAGACTAATCCATCTTTGGAATTAGATATTCAATAATAATAAGAAAGAGCAGTACAAGTTGCAATTTCTTACTACATATCAAAATAAGGAAAATTGTATTTAAAATTCTAGTGTAATATTAATATTCTCAAAGCAAACATGACAACCAGGGCAAGTCAGCAGATGAGAGCCTTTTCAGATTTATTCCATCAGAATGAGGAGAACATTTACACATCTTGCTTGCAATTTATTTATTTATTTGGGTAATTCAGTAATCTTATCAGATTCACCACATAGGATATCGCCTAAAAATTACTGTACAAGTATTTTCTTCCAGCATTTTGATGTGCTTAAGGGAATTGACTTCGTTACGTTGACTAGTGTTCATAGTAATTAAGATGGTGTTATTGCGCTTATTAATGTTGTACATCAAGAGTCTGTCGGAAGACCATTCTCTGTCCAAGCAGCATATCCTCCAGCAATGTCAGTCACCCCAGTAAATCCCTGCAAAATAATTGGCGCACAACAATCAGTATGCCTACATATATAGAATTTTATGTCGACATATTATCACAACTCAATTTTGTGTGTGGATCTCAATTTGTATGTTGATTTAGGTACTTCTTGTCCCGAGTTGTTATCTATTTTGAATTATTTTCAAGTAGGAGCCATTTATTGTACACATAAGTATTAATTTTTATAAGTATAAATGTACAAAAAAAAAATTGCTATCTTTTAGCATTAATTAATAATGAAATTGACCATATTAACCTTACTCCAAGGACAACCTTGGAAAAAAAGAAATTAATTGCTTCTTGATATTTGAAAAAATCAAATATTGTGAATCATAAAAAAGGGAGCTAAAAAAATCAATTAAGAGCAATCAGCATTTGTACATATAATTTTCAATTTTCACTTGAAAATGCATTTTGTAATTTTTCGAAAATTTTAAAAACTCCAAAAAACTATTTTTTAAAATTTTCATTTAGATCCCTCACAAAACTTCAAAAACAACCCAAAATTTTGTTCATGTCCAAACACAACTCTAATTTTCAAATACCATTTTCATCTGAAAATCTTTTTCCACCTTTTTTTGAAATTTTATAACTATTATATTATGTCCAAATGCCCACTAAATATTTGTGAATTTTTTTGGCTATGTCTAGGCCACTGCATAGATAAACTGATTTACTAGTATTTCTAATTTTCTCTTTTTCAAGTATCGGAGTATGTAAAAGGGACTTACAGCAGCAAGAAGATCAGTCGCAGCCATAAATGATCTCTTCCCCAACTGGCACCCCTATACAATGCAAAGTCAAACCAAAGATATTAATATGCAAAAGCAAATTGATAAATCATTAACTCATGAAATTAAAGCTCATTAACATCATATAGCTTTGTGGACTTACAACTATAATTTCATCATCCTTCCCGAAATGTTTTAACACTTGTTCCAAGAAGTTGGGGTTCTTTGTCATACCTGCACAAGTATACAGAGTTAAGTAATTAAACTGATTGAACATATATTCTTGAAATAATGAAATATTTCCAAGGGATGAGTGCGATTAAAAGTTTAAATTTGTGGTACTCAAAAAAGGGGGAGTATTGATTATAAATGACCGAACCTGAGCCAATTCTAAACATGTAGGGAATGTTTATGGCCCCAGTAGCATGACCATCACTAAACTCTTCAGCAGTTCTGCACAAAATAAGGTTAAAGATTGAACCTTTCATACTAAAATAGCTCAATTTGTTAGGCAAATATAATTCATTGAAGTAAATTGGCACAGTAGTGTACGTACCTGACATCTAAATAACGATGGCCAGCTTGAAGTAATTCAAGTGCAACACGAACTGGAACTGAAGTAGGAACAGTTGAGACCTGCACTTTCTCTCCCACTGTTGCCATCCAACTGCACAGTAATTATCGAATACCCACTACTCCATCAGTCATTTTGAACTCAAAAATTAATCTTAGTATAAAAAAGAGAATTAATTAATTAATTTACTCAATTCGAACCAACCTAAAGCCTGGAGTTCTATTGCTATTGCCAAAGTTACGTCTCTTTTGAGGCTGAAATTGAGACCTCGCCATTGGAATCAATGTCACTGATGATATATTCCCATATGTCAAATTCTTGGGAACATGGCAGTCACCAAGTGAAAATGAGGTGGAGGGAAGGGAAAGAATTCTCATGATTGCAATTCTAATTTGTGATTTAAATTCAATAGAATAGAATGTGTGAGATTCTGAAAAGATGATCAGCTCTTTCTTGAATTGAGTTAATGATGAGAATTGAAATGGAGAGGGATATTTAAGGAAGAAGCCAAGGGATGGAGTAGACTAGTGTAAGCAACATGGCCACGAGAGGAGAGGAGGATCCAGAATTTGAGGCTTATGGGTTTTTCTCATCATTTTAGATTAATATGCAATAATAATTGGGTTCACAATCAGATACTTATCAATATTCAGTGAATTTCTTAATATAAATACAGAATTTATGCAAGAATTATTGAGTTTCCGGAAACGCGTAGCCTATGCATTAGGTCTGTCTCTGATGGCCACATGGGTGGTAAGTCATTGAATAGATAGACACGTAAAGGAAATAGAGCATGGACTGGATTGAGAATTTGGGATAACTCCCAATATTATTAGACAGTGACTTGGATTACCTGTGGTTGGATAAGTTCCAAATGGACCTACCTTTTCCCATCTAACGCCTTACCCTTCTATTATCCACTCGCACACTTTTCAATGCCCTCTCACCCATTACAAGTTTTTATGATCCTATATGACTATGGAGATTTTTATTTTTCGATAATTAATAATTGAAGTTCAACGGCTTTAATTAATTTACATTCGTATCATGTATAATCTAATTAGAAAAAAAAAGATTATTATAAGTATTTTATTTTTAAAATTTTAAACTTGAGATCCCTAGTTAAAAGTGAAAAATTTCATGCATTTAATCACCTTCTTTGATGGTAATGAATATTGAGTTACATATAAGCTATTACATTACGTGTTTCAAGCCTCTATTGTAATTAAGAAAACAAATACGAAGATAAAAGCTTATAACAAATAAATCGAACATGATGATAAAACTTACTAGCGAATTAATTTCTATTGCAGTTGTAAGTTATTAGATGATACTTATCAAAGAGCTTCAAAGAAGTAAAAGAATTGACTATTTTTTCCTTTTCTACGAAGAAGAATAAAAAACTGATGGTCGGGTAAATGAATATCCAGTGCCTGAGTCAATCTCATGAATATATAGTCTTTAATTATTAGGGAAATATTATTCCAAAAAGTGGTATGTATTTGTTATGTATGTAGGTTGGATGATTCTTGGTCCAAGGTTATAGGTTTTGGCCATGCAAAGTAATGCCACCACCCCCAATATCCTGGTGTTGACTCTCCACAAATTGTTGTGGTATTAAATACTAATACTAGCTTAATCCCACATTTTATTGTCAAAATAGCACGGTATAGCCAGTTTTCGGACTGGTCATTCAAAACTAGTCACCGTTTACGAAGTCAATGAAAAATAGTCATTATTTTGCTGCAACAGAGATCGGTCCCGCATAATATACAGGAGTTCGGTGCATCTGTGTACGAACTCCAACATATTATGCTGGACCGGTATACTTTGCTGACTCATGTATAATATACGGGAGATTGGAGCACCGGTGCTCCAAACTCTAGTATATTATACTGGACATTTATACTTGCGGGAACTCCAGTATATTATGCTCGAGTTCTAGTGTACTTATGCTGGAACTCCAACATATTATGCTGGAGTTCCAGCATAATTATCCTGGAACTCCCGTATAATATGCTGGAGTTCAAGCATACTTATGCTGGAACTCCAGTATAATATACGGGCGTATTTTCCGGGTTTTGAACAATGTTTTTGCTCAGATTTATCTTTACATGAAAAGTGGCTAAATTTCGATTACTTTTGAAACTGGGCTATTTTTGAATGACCAGTTGTAAATCTGGCTATTTTTAAATTTCTCCCCATTTTATTGTAGGTTACAACTCCATTAATAGTTAACTCAGTTTTCATACAATTCAAATTCAATTAATTGGTCATATTTATCAACGCTTCTCTTCCTTTAACTAAATGGACTTAGCACAACTAGCCCACAGCATCTACAAGAAACATTTCTACTCAAAACGAAAGATAGGATAACGCTAATAAAACTTTGGTCTGGACTTGGTGGGGTGCGCCAGGCCCGTGCAGTCTTGTTAAATATTAGGGAAATATTTATTCCAAAAAGTGGGGTATGTATTAAGGAATTTTTACCCCTATAGCTAAGGTTAATACCTTATTTATTTTAAATAAATATCCTTTTAAAAAATTATATTCCATAGCTACCTTTTGATTTTTATACCCAAATATCTATTTATGGTTACCCCCTACCCTTAAGCTATAAAATATTTTTTGTATTACTAGTCTTAGAATACGCGTGTTGCGCATGTGCCTAGTCTCGATATTAGAATTTATGTTTAAGTTATAAAATAAAATTCAAAAAAAAATTACGTTCTAAAATGATCAATTATTAGTTTTATTTAGTTATTCAATAAAGGTTGAAACTTTATCCCATAAAAGTACTAAATTATCTCAATCAATATGTAACTTAAAATGAATTCCAATTTTATAATTCAATTTAAGTTTCACAAGTTGCCATATTTCTTTTAAGTTTCAGCAAGATCACATAACTTTTGAAGATTTAAAGTTTTTAAAGTAAAGCTATTTTTAAAGAACTTTGATTCCGTAAAAGATTTAATATCCCAATAAAAAACTACATTTTATCCTCTTTTTGATATTTCTTCGGCAATAGTCTTGAATCATGTATGAACTCGAAGTAGTAAAATCATTAGTCACATAGCTATCGGAAAATAAGCGAAAGATTTTATTCACATTCTGTTATAAGTCAGAGTACGTGGAGAAGAGTACGTGGAGAATTCGCATTCCATTATCCTATTAATTGAATAATGAAGATTTTAAAAATAAATTATAAATTTATATAGTTTAAACAAAGAAAGAATTTATATAAAGCAAAATCTTAATTGATTTTAGCGTATTAAATATTATTAGTTCTTACTTAGTTCAAATAATTAAAAACCCAATAACTAAAATTTTGGTTAATTATAAATTCTTATAATTTTAAGAAAAATAATTTTTTGTCTAATATAAAATCTATTAAAAGCTGTTAAAAACGGAGTAAAAGGTCCAATAAAAGCATAAAAAATAGTAGAAGAAATAACTTGACAAAAAATTGAAGCATACACTCTAATGCAAAAAGGCAACTATGCAATCAAGATTCACAATCAAGAACATCAAAATAAAGATATATGGGTTGAATACATGCATGCAAAATTCAAGTACTAATGTGTTAAAGCAAAATTCAACTACTAATACAAATATATGTGCAATATTCAACTACTAATATTAAATAAAAAAATAAAAAATAAAAAAAAACTTACTCAAGAAAAGAGAATATGGAAGCCTTAATTTTGTAGTTGCTGCTTCAACAAGGCAAAGTTTCATAATAATGAAAAGGTGTAATTATAACTTCTTTTATAGAAGTACTTGTTTATATAATTGTTTAAAAATTTATTCAACAGACTCTAATAAAAGAAATTCAGAAATAGCTCGTTTTCACCTAATATATTTTATAAAGAATTAGTGTCAAACGTTTATACCAAACTTTCCTAGTATGTGTATATGAAATGTGAATTCGTTAAAATTTTGTTTATTAAAAAAACTTTCCGAGTGTGAAAATTTTAATACTTCTAAATTTGAATATAGTTGAAAGTATCGAAAATTTCGTGGTGTATGTGAATTAGTGAAAATTTTATTAACTAAAAAGAACCGAAACCTTCCTATTGTGTGCGAATGAAATAAAATTTTATTAACTAAAAAAAGATCCTCCTAGCGTTATAAGGAAAATTTTAATAATATGCCTAAATATTAATGGAGTTGGACGGAAAATTTCCTATTATGTCGTGACCGATAATCTTTCCTA